TACCAACTTTGTACATAGGTAACTTTAAAACAAAAGTCATTTCTGCTAAGAACTAAAAAACAACAGTTTGGCAGTTTTATTTGAAAAAAAAAATGATCTAGATGAACTAGGTACGAAGTTTTCTAAAAGTTTAAGGTAGAGGTCACTGTGCACTATGGCATGGCAAGTAAGTTTACAACCCATTAATTTAATTCAAATGTTGAAGACTACCAGGCCACTGGACATAAAATTGTAATATTTTGTTACTATTACAAGGTTATAGGATTTGTTGGAGTGTTAGGCTGAGAAATATATATTTTTGAAGGATTGTTTCTTCAGTGTCCAGTCATCTTTATGTGACATCTTGAAGGTGGCTAATCATCATGCTGAGTCCCTACTAATTTCTTGGCTGCATTTAGATTAAAAAATATATATTTTTAAATAATATATTAATTTTTTTTTTTAGTTCAGATAAACAGTATTAAACATCACCTATAAAATATTTAAGTAAAGATATATATTGTAGTACACATTTTTTTTTTATATGCACCAACCTTCAAATAAAGATGAATCTTATAAAACTGTTGAAGCGAATGTAGTTTTACTGTTACACTAGAAGCTGGTAATTTCAAAATAAATTTAAATGTATATTTCTGCTTTCAGCATTCCAGAAGTGACTTTCTCTTTGGGATTTACATTAAATAAGCAGGTATTAATTGATCACTATTTCACTGTCTGAATCTCTCTGCTCAGGTATCTTTCTTTGTAACACCCTTTGATGCAACATTTTTACAAAGCTTTTAACAACTCACTCCTATTAACAAAACATGAAACAATTATAAAAATAATTAACAAATTAATTAAGGGGTAATTAATTAATTTTCTTTGATACAGAAAAAGGGGAATACATTTTTCAGTATTGAAATATATAGCTGCAGTTCTTTACCTATTATAAGCCTTTTTAAAAAAATTTTTGGTTGTTTCTTTTCCTATTTTATCAGTAGTGTTTGGAATCATTTCAAAATTATTTGTATTTTATTTGTTTTTTTAAAATTTCTTACATTGTACCATTGCCCAAATTTTAAAGTAAAATCCTAGCCCACCTGGCCACATTTGAATTGTTGGGTGGTTCACTTAGTCATTAATGCAAGGTTGTTACAATCCTTTTAAAACTAATCTACCATGGTTCAAAACCTTGTTGCCAGAAGGTCCTGTACCTGTCAATACCAACCATATGGTTTGGTCTAGTATCTGTATTTATTAGAGGATATATATGTTGGTTGGCATATCTGAAAGACTTAGTGGATATAAGTTTACCAGTGTACTTCAACTCCTTTGTTTTAAATATGAATAATAAATATTATATTGTATTCAATGGCTCTAAGTGATACATCTATATCACTTCAGGATGCCATTATTAATTTTTAGTTTACACGAGAATAAGCCATTCATTAATGTTTTTATATTAGGAACATAGACTTCTTCTACGTCTGTTCTATTTATGTGAATCTTTTTATCATCATTTTTATTTGAGAAAAAAGTCCTTGTAATTGTTACGATTGATAGTTTAATATACACAAACTTGACATAAGAACATTTAAGATCATAACAACTTTAATTAGCCATCTTGGCTACCAGAGTTGTGTCCCCTATGCATGGGCACAACTCTTCCTACTCTATACAGTAACCATAAAAGAAAAGTAATATACAATATTATGTGGGTTACTGAAAGGGGCATAACATTCCCTCAACAGTAATCATAACAAATTTCTGATAAGGATTAATAAAGCAGTCTTAGTCTTAACTGACAATATTGTTATGGATACTATATATTTGTAAAGTATATTTCCTTAAAGACTTTCTTAAATCATAATTTAGAAAAAAAACATTAATTATAATCGTAATGTTTATAATATATTTTACCGCTTTATAGTGTTAAACGCTTCCGCAGTGTCGGATGAAAACAAACCCAAATGGAGGTAACACTGAATACAGAAACCGATAAAACACCAACGAAAGGTTAAACAATCAATAGAGGTAGTCGATTCTGGTGTTGAACACTAAACACGTTTAATAATCATGAAGGGAACCGTTGAATGTCATCTACTTCTAGCTGTTTATACATGCTTCTTATTGCTACACTGTTAAGAAAGTGTCTTGTTTATGTCGACTCCTATTTAGTTATTTTTTAAAAACTATCTCGTCATCGTTACTAAGTAAAAAACTTCCTCCTATTCCCAAAACAAATAACTAATTCCTAATCATGCCATAACAATAGACACTCTATTTATCTATCCTTAGGTTGTTATTGGTGTAGTGTATGCTCCCATTAAAGATGAACTTTTTACTGCAAAGTTAAATCAAGGTGCTTTTCTAAATGGGAAGAAACTGACAGTGAATAAAACTAAAGGTTAGTAATTTTTGTATACAGTCTAACAACAGCTTGTTCTGGATTGCAACATAAACTTTAATAAATATAAATATATTTATTATGATTTTATTTTTTGTTAACCGCCCTGGACAAATTAATAATCTTGACCTGCTTACAGTTATATTGATTCTTCTGAAAAGTTTTTACTTTATTTTGTCAGTGCATCAAAGTCTTTCTTTACACCTTTTACTATTTCCAAAGGTTACATGTAAAAATTGTCTTTTTTTTGTCCTCTGCACAATGACCTAACGCAGTACAAAAAAAAACCCCAACAACAACAAAAAAAATTAAAATATTGAGCAATGTTGTTAATTTAAAAAATACTCAATTTTTAAAGAAGGTCTTATGCACTGCAGTAGCAAAGCTTTCTTTAAAAAAAAAGCTATACACATTTGGTTTTCACTAAAAAAAAAAGATTCATTACGATTCTTGATGAGTTTAATAAAAGCTGAGAGTATTACATTACAATATTACAACACTTAACACTATTGCAATAATATTTATTGAGCTAATATTTTCATTACTATGTACAATAAGGAAGTTTTTAACATCACATTCTTAGTTCTGCTCATTAATTCTTTCCTCTTTACCACTTCCATTGCCTCTTAGCTTCTAGGTTTTTTTTTGTGTTTTTTTTTTTATTAATCATGTTTTTTTATTTTCTTCTTTTGGATCTTTGGGTGCGCTTACTAGTTCTAATCATATCATTTCTTGCCATTTCAAAATCAATTGTAAATAATTAAAAAACAAATCTTGATATGCAAGGCTATGTGGTGTTTGTATTAAATTAACTAAAAAATAATAATATTCTTTGCTACAATTGTGTATCGAAAATACTTTTGAAAGGACTGAATATAGTTGATATAATTTTAAAAAGTTTTCTTTTAATTGAATGCATTTGTGCTTTTAATAAATTCTGTAATTAGGTCCTGTGTTTTAATGCTTTCTTCAGTTTGTTTTACTTTTGCTTTTCTTTATTCTATATCAGACATATCCAAAGCTGTTGTGATCATGGAAGGAGGAAGCTCCAGAGATGTTGATATTGTAGATAAGAAAATTAAAAATATTTATGCAATGGTGTCTAACTCTCACGGGTAAAGTACCATTTGTTAAGTTAATAATCTGAGTTTTTTATTCTTGACTTGACATTAGCTTGTCTTTTTTTTTTCAGTTTATTTGTGTTTAATAGCTTATCTTTCTGTTTATATGTATTCCTACATCTTTCACTTTACACTTATTCATAATGTTATCTTTCTGTTTATATGTGTTCCTACATATTTCATTTTACATGTATTTTAAAATCTTGTCAGTTTACATGTGTTCCTAAATTTACCTTTTAGTTTACATGTGCTTCTAACCTAATCTTTCAGTTTACCTTCTGTTGTTTCTATCATGTATACCATACATCTTATTAACAAAAGCCCTTCTCTCTTTTACTTTACATTTTGATTTTCTCTTCTCTCTCTCTCTCTCTCTCTAGGGTGCGAGCATACGGTTCTGCAGCTTTGAACTTGTCCCATATTGCGGCTGGACGAGGGGATGCTTATGTTGAGTATGGTATTCATGTCTGGGATTTTATAGCTGGGGCATTGATTGCCAAAGAAGCAGGAGCCACAGTGTTGGACCCAACAGGTAACTCAAACTTTCCCACATTCTCTTAATATGATTTACATAAAGAATATTAAAAAGTCAACGAAATCAATATACAACTCTTTTTTTTCTCTGATAACATTCCTATACCTAGCAATCTGTCTCAAAACATTTACAGATTTAAATCAAATTAAGAGCAAAAGCTGTCCTTTTTGATGGGATTTAAATAAACTTTATTTTTTCATATTTATTAATATATTTTGTTAGAAAGTAATTTTGGAAGAAAGTGTTTGATACCAAACCTGCTCATGAAACTTTATGTTGCTTCTAGGTTCAGAGTTGGACTATATGCATCGTCGTGTGCTTTGTGCTTGTACACCTGAAGTAGCCAACCAGATTTCAGAAAAATTGATTCACCTAGATATGGGCTTTGATTAAAAAAATTTGATTCTACATATCAGTGCTGGTATTTATCAGAATTCCATTTCATTATAAAAAAAAATCTCTGTTGGAGGATAAGTTTGTATCAACTTGTGTATCTAGAGATGTATTTTTGTAACAGACAAATAAAATAACCTTACTGTAGAGTAATATTTCTTTTTATGGTTTACATAAAGTTGAAATAAAAGTACATTTACAATGTAAAAGACATTAAAATAGCTGATACTAAGTATGCAGAACTTATCTCACTATAAGGATTTCAATTTATTCTTTTTTCAAAAAACTTTTGCTCTCCATATTAGAAGGTTAATCCACTCTCCCCCCTCCTTTTTCAAAACAAAGTTATTACACACCAATATATATATAATACTTATATTATTCTGTTTATGGTATTTTACATCTTGGGGGATGATCTTTTCCCTTAGCAACTTCATTTGACTACAAGACTAATTCTTGATACATATCCACTGTCACATGTTAGGCTTTTGCAATCATGATCTTTAATGTAGATTAGACAAAAGGAATCCTGAAAAACAAAATGGTGTTGAAGGATTGAAACCTTTACTTGAGACGTGAGCACCCAGGCTAGTTCTTCACAGTCACAGATGTTGAGTTGGCATTCTTTAAGGGAACTTCAGAAAGTATCTTTATATGTCATGTTGATACTGTTAAGAATTGTTGCCATTATGTAAAACACATTTCTTTCTAAAGGAATAATTGTATCACCAGCACAATTTTGTTTTCAATAACTTTTTACTAATTTTTTTTTTTTTAAAAAAGTCAAAAGAAATTTTACCAATAGGCCTGGGGTTATTTATTTATTCATCCGACAACAATGTGTAAATGAGAATTATCTTGTTCTAATTTTTAAAATTTTTTATATTGTATTTTGTTGTTGTTATTTATTACATGTAAAAATGTGTCTTCTTACGATATTATAATAGATCATTAGACTGAAACTGCTCTACACATTTTGTACCAGAAAAAAAAAGACATTTTATTAAAAGTTTTTAACTTATTTCTTTTGTTGTTTGTGTTAGTAAAATTGTGTCTGTGACTGTTTAGTAATATAGTTTTCCTTTTATTCTATGTAAAGTTTAGTTGATGTGAACTGTTGTTTAAAATCAGTCTTGCTAGCCCATAATGTGCAATGCCCTGAGGACTTGACATTCTCCCCCCTCTGGCATCCTCACCCACTTAAAGCTCATTTTGAGAGGACTTTCTATCCCCCAAACTCAAGTCCAGTGAGTGTACTTTACATTCTTCCCATGGAGATCATTTCTAGAGCATTACAGAATATCCCCAAGAGCTAATTTTCTTTCAATTAGGATGCTGATTCCATGATTTCCCCGGAAGTCATAAACAAAAATAGAAAGATTGGTAATAATTTATAGCTCCTTTTTTATTTCTGAAGAGAGAATATGGTATGGGAATTTACTTAAAGAGCTAATTTAACGGCCAGTGTTTCCATTCCCCTTTCCCCCACTATCCATTCAGATAGCAAAATCAAATAAGTGAATAAAATTTGTCTCGTTTACTAGTCTGAAGAGTTCATGTCTATAAATAAAACCCTATTTAAGAAGGGAGATAATATTATAAGTACAGGATGCTTGGGCGTTCCATTATATCTCCTTGATAAATGAATTATTTTATTGCAATGTCATGATTGCCCATGGAAAGCTTTTTTATAAAGTGATGTGTGCTTTTAATAAGCTATTTGAATAAGGCAGTTTTCTTCTACTTTGTTGTAAAGAGCAAACACATCTGTCAGTCTAAGTGCTGACTCAAAGCAGTGCCGGACTTAAGTAAGTGGAGTCCCTGGGTAAGATTTGTATGTTGAGGCACCTACTCTCTTCAGGATTCAATATAAATGCACATTATAATGTTAATAATGAAAAAATCTTGTCATATTTATGAAGACACAAATACAGCAGGCCTATTACTAAATGTAATCTTATTTACCTTAATGTCTTTTTACAAAATGCATTTATATTAATGTGGAGACTTCCTTGAAACGTGAGGCCATGGGCAACTACAACATCGTAAATCCGACCCTGATCAAAAGTATTTGCTAGCAAATATGTAAAAAGTTAACGCGGTTAGTGTTAGCGTAGTAGTTAAAAAAAAATAGCAAGAAAATATTTAAACAAATTATTTTAAAGACAAAAACAAACCCAATAGTAAATGTAGTTGTATAAATTAGTTTGGATCAGTCATGTAATTAGATTTATAATAGATATAGACTCTAAACTAAACATAATATATCCGTGCGATTAGAAATATTGATATTTTTACGAATTGTATTTGTTTAGCGCTATTTCATGCTTTCAGCTTTTCCTGTACGCTTTGTCTGGACCAGTTGGGAAATGTGGGAGGGGGAAAGAAAGAAGAGGATATTTAGATGAATGTTACCGTGATCGCTTTTTACATGCTTTAAAAAAAATAAAAATAAAAGACTTGAATTCATCAAGCCAACATACTAACCACTGTGCCAGCAAATCGCTTATAAAAATAGTAGGTTTTATAGTTATTTATTGTTAGCTTTAAAGCGGTGATCTAAAAGTATAAAAGGAGCTAATTCAAGTTATAGGGCCTACCACCACATCAGTGAAGTACAATTTCTTTCCCTTGTTCGATACCAGACAAAAGAATTAATCAACTAATTTTTTAAAATTGATTTTTGTTTTGTCAGGTAAAACAAATAGTTGTGCAAGATTTCAGCTTGATCCGAGATTGGCAGAGGGAGAAATAACGTGTAAACACTTTTTACCACACAGAAGAGTGAGTTGATACAAGCTACGTGAAAATAGTTACATCTTTCATTGTAGTTTTTTTTTTTTTAATTCAGAATGCTTCAGAAAGTATTTTTAGAATGGGCTATGTTGGACTAGTCCGTTTCGTTTCTTTGATTAAAAAGTTGAATCACAAATTGGGCCGGAAGTGGCTTTTTTCCGTATATATCTTTGCATTTTTCAGTTCTCTTTTTAACTGACATTATTTTGCTATAATTTTAAGTGTGCCTGATAGAGAAAAAAATTCTGCACAAAAATACGTATAGTTGGGATAGAACCCGATAGAGGCTATAAAAATAAAAGACCTGAAACTAGCGCGTGAAACTACACATTTACAGTACTTTATTTGATGAGTATTTTACCCAAGAGATGTGTTTTTTTTTTTTTTAGGACTAGCTTATTTTAAGTACCCGGCATTTTCCGATACACAATTTCATACACAAAATAATTGTTGAAAAAAATTATACTGATTTTAAACTTTAAATTATTAGTTAAAAAGGTGTTGCTCTAATCAATTTTGAATATTAGTTTCCTACGAATGTCACTGTCTATTTTGTGTCTGTTCTAGTTTCTTTAATTTTTGTTGATTAAAGGGTCGTGTTTTATCCTAATGGGTATAACTTTCTCCAAGCAGCCTTTGTAAAATATTGGTCCTAAATAAGTCTATGTTCATAAACGAAAAATCACATGGCTGCATTATGATGAATGTACGTGTTAGTTCAATATATTTTATATTACTAGGTAACTAAAAATAACTGTATGAATAGACGTAAGTTTCTTTTTTTTTTGTTGTTAGTCAAAGTCACATGGCAAATTTCTGTTTATATCCTTATTCTAAAAAGGAATAAAAAATAGAATTATTTTTAATAGTTTTGAAAGTCTCACTGATAAGATTACAAAGAGAGTTTGTGTTTTTGCAAATGTACCAAGGTACGCTACGAGTCAGTCCATCTCTTCTAATGGTTTAGAAATGAGTGTAAAAATGTAGGCTTCGATATTTACAAAATAAATTTATCCAATGCTCGAGATCCTGCTTGTATACTTAGGCCCTATATAAATCGATCCGGTATCAATGTATTAAGTAGCAATAACCCCGAAAAAAAATTATGAAAGAAGATTGAGATAAACATATATATTTTTGTAACGGTACGCACCGGTACGGGGTACCGGCACCTTTTTTCAATGTCGGGAAAAATTATTACTTTTCTTGTATTTCAACGTTAATTGTTAATTTATTAGTAGTTGAAAGTTAGGCAATCTATTACTGAGTACCGGCAATTTTTTTTTTTACAAAAAAAAAAAAAAAAGCACTTTATATATGTACTAGTCGACCGGCTGCGTAGCATACGCCGTTATTTTGCAGGGCAACCTTAGGCCACTGCAACCTATGCGAACGCATTGGGCCCCCTACTTTTATAGTACCCGCGCTAATTTTAGGTGTAACTTATAACAGATTTCCCGCGGCCTCCTGTCGATTTAATAGGAGGTCCTGAAATCTCTTGTAATTAAAAATATACGAAAAAGTCCTGGAAGTATCCGGAAATTATTAAAATCTTTTGAAAACTCATACAAATCTCCTGAAATATATAGACGAAAATTGACATTTATTTTCACCTCTTAAATTACCTAGGATAGCTCCCTCCGTCCGAGTTGCAAAAATAAAAGAGTGATCCTTCCATTGTGTCCAAAGTCTTGAGCGTGTTCTGTCGCCTCGATAGTTACTACAGAGTACATTACTTCCCCCCCCCCCCTTTTTTTTTACGTGAGGTAGAAATAAAAATAGAGTGATATTGCAATGGTCCCTGCTATTTTGTGACGTGTTCTCCCCCCCCCCCCCCTCCCTTTTTCATGTTTTCTCCTGGACTATCCGCAGAGTGATCTTTCCTTTACTTCTTGCTACTCGACAAAAATCTTGAGGGAAGAAGAGAATTATATATATATATAGAAGATACTTTGTATACAGCTTACTTTCAGCCGACATGCCGTATTATTAACAACACCTATTTGAGAAAGTCTCAATCATCTAGAGTCTTAGACAGTCATTATTTTAGACTAGATTTAAGTAGAGTCTAGACCTTGATCTATAATGCCTATTACTATTAAAAAAATAAAAATAATCAGTCATTAGACATCATTAGCAATTTTATTATTAGGTCTAGGCATTGAAAAGTAAATCTATTAATAATCCATAATGGATTGAGATCTAGACTTAGATCTAAGTCTTAGTACTAACTTATTAAATAAGTAGACGTATTCTTAAAAAAGAGATCTAGATTGACTAGATTATAGATAGATCTATAGCTTAGTAGATTAGTAGTATAGATTATAGTAAATGTATTAAAGTTAAAGTAACCTAATATTAGATCTATGTCCTATGTCTTTATCTAATAATTTAAGAATTAATAAACTTTAGTCTTCAGTAATATCTAGACTTTACTCTAATAAAAAATTGACTATAGGCATAGCATAGGATAGACTCGGCACTCTAGTCTCAAGATAGAATCTATACTATTACTAGACTCTAGATCTATTCGATTTTTAAAATATAGATCTAGACTATAATAAGATTATAGATCTAAATATAGTAATGGAGAGATGATATGCGGTGTTAGCTAATAGCGATGCACAAGAAACGAACCTGGGTTTTTCTAAACTCTAATACTTGGTATTGGCTAAGGTGTAGATTATTTAGATTCTCTGTGCCTGTGTCATACACAACAGAAGCAGAAAGAAGGGTGAAAATGCAACGGCGCCTGGTGATTATATATGCCCAACCTGCGATCGCAGCTGTGTATCAAGGATTGGCCTCTTTAGTCGCACAAGAAGTTGCAAAGGGAAAAGATCGTCTCTCGAGACGTGAAATGCCACAGAATACTTGGTATGTAATAGTAAAATAGCTCCTACCTAAATAAATCGTAACTAGAAATCAAAACCTATATTTATTGTAGTATATATAGGTCTGTGGTTGAATATTATATAGCCTTCGTAACTTCTTCTATAGAGAAATGACTTTTGTAATTTCTTTTACAGAAAAATTGGGCTATTCGCGTCTGACACATATTATTTTTATGTTCAGCAACAAAGCCCATTGAAAGAACTATGCATATTCACACCCACTGCTTCTTCTGACAACATTTGATAGGTCAGTGATAAGAGGCTTACATTATTCAGCACGGCCACATGATAATAGGTTAGAAGAGAAT